AAACTAACTTTCTTTGCTAACTCTTTCCCTCACTAACTCTTTCTTTGACTAACTCTTTCCCTGACTAACTGTTTCTTTGACGAACTCTTTCTTTGACTAACTCTTTCTGTGACTAACTGTTTCTTTGCTAACTCTTTCTTTGAATAACTCTTTCCCTCACTAACTCTTTCTTTGACTAACTCTTTCCCTCACTAACTCTTTCTTTGACTAACTCTTTCCCTGACGAACTCTTTCTTTGCTAACTCTTTCTTTGACTAACTCTTTCCCTCACTAACTCTTTCTTTGACTAACTCTTTCCCTGACTAACTGTTTCTTTGCTAACTTTTTCTTTGACTAACTCTTTCCCTCACTAACTCTTTCTTTGACTAACTCTTTCCCTCACTAACTCTTTCTTTGACTAACTCTTTCCCTGACTAACTGTTTCTTTGACTAACTCTTTGTTTGACTAACTCTTTCTTTGACTAACTCTTCCCCTGACTAACTCTTTCTTTGACTAACTCTTTCTTTGACTAACTCTTTCCCTGACTAACTGTTTCTTTGACTAACTCTTTCCCTGACTAACTCTTTCCCTCACTAACTCTTTCCCTGACGAACTCTTTCTTTGCTAACTCTTTCTTTGACTAACTCTTTCCCTGACATTTTCCCTGACTAACTCTTTCTTTGACTAACTCTTTCCCTGACTAACTCTTTCTTTGACTAGCTCTTTCTTTGACTAACTCTTTCCCTCACTAACTCTTTCTTTGACTAGCTCTTTCTTTGACTAACTCTTTCCCTCACTAACTCTTTCTTTGACTAACTCTTTCCCTCACTAACTCTTTCCCTGACGAACTCTTTCTTTGCTAACTCTTTCTTTGACTAACTCTTTCCCTGACATTCTAAAAGTCCGTAACACGGAAGTTTCTCCCCCTAAACTTCCTTTGATAAAGAAAATAGCTGTTTACCCACAGCACAAGCGATAGTTCAAACAGAAGAGAGAAATGTGACTTATGGAAATGCTCAAGTCCTGCAAATCTTTTGCAACACAAATTGGCTCCCCTCAGAAATAGCAAACATATGCGGACATGAAATCTTTTGTAATGGCCCGTCTTTTGCAGTTGCCACTCACATCAGAATATTCCTATTGGAATCCCGAGATGCCAGGAAGACTAGATGGTTTGTAACTCATACAGATACACGTAGAAGATGGCACCCCCCAGTAATGGAGCTGTAGATATATCTACCATAAAACCAAAGTTTATGTTTTGTTCACCAACTTATAACTACAGCTCTCATAGTTAGTTTATAACCTTTAAGCCAACTATACAAGCTGGTGCTCCCCAAGTTATGTTTGTTTGTTTTTTAAGCCCATGAACTAGTTCGATATATCACCAACAAAAACCATAGTCAACTATATGCCAACTATAGCCAACTATAGGTTTAAACCTGCCATAGACCGTAGTTTTCATCCCACCAAAAGGTGCACGTAACCGTGGCGAGCTGGGATTTTTCCCCGTGAATGGAAGATTGTTCATGGGAAAGTCATGGGTTTCCCCACAGGACAAGATGGGAACATGTTGTTTGTTTGAATGGGAAAAAAGATCAAACCATTATAATGGCTTATGGGAACCCACAACTGGTTAGTTCACCCATGTCGCACCCAAAACTGCAACTGGAGTAGTAACTGGGTCTTATCAACAGATCTGTTGTGATAACTGGTGGGTTCCCCCTTTGACATCCACCCAGCTTTGGGGCACGAAGCACTCGTCACCAGCCATGGCCACCATGGCCCACCGTGCCACCGGTCCCTCAGGATGTCACACACATCTATCACACCAATGTGGGAGGCTGGGCCGGGGCGAATTTCCCGGACTTGGAAAAAGGTCTCAAAAGAGGTGTGTTTGACAAGATACAATGATATAACAATTAGTTATAATATACTGATATAGTGTCTATACTGATGTATAATGATATCATATAGATCTATAGATATGATATGTATAACAACTGCATATATATATATACATTGATAATTGTATTAGATAAACAACTGATTTCATGACTTTCGTCCGGTTGTCGTAGCTGCTGTTCTCATATGGATGTCCATGCAGTGGACCCATGGGTGAACGGTTGCTTTTGATACTTTTGATGTATCGCTTTTCAGCTATTTCTATCGAGGAGTTCACTATCCAGTTATTTTTTGACATGAGATTTACGTATAGCGGATAACATCATGGACATTTAACCAAACCCATGCACGAAGCCAAAAAACCATGGCAGCCATGAATTCACCGGGTCATGTGCAGCTTCTTGCTGGCACCTGGGGTTCAAGCGAGTTTGAATGGAATTCTTGTGATTTTAAATATCTCTTCCAATGCTTCAAGTAAATGTGTCGTTCCCGAGTGGTTCTGGAGAAACTCTGCAACTTCCTGAACACTCCAAAGTGGGGGACTTGAGACTTCTGGCCCAGAAAACTTTCAGAAAGGGTTTCCTCAAACTCGTCACTTTCGAGGGGCATGTTCTGGCCAACCCTGAGGACTCTTTGCAAGCTGCAGGGGTGAAAGACGGAGAGAACATAACTGCAGTGGCACAGCGAGCAAACTTAAGTGCAACAACTGAGGCTTTTGCTTTCTGGTGCTGTGGAGGTAACAGAGTGGTGACATGGGGCCATGCAGATGCAGGTGGTGACTGCTCCGCAATTCAAGATCAGCTTCAGAATGTGCAGCAAATTCAGGCCACATCTTTGGCATTTGCTGCAATCTTGGCCAATGGATCCGTCGTTACCTGGGGTGATCCAAAATGTGGTGGCGACTGCTCTGCAGTTCAGGATCAGCTCAAGAATGTGCACCAAATTCAGTCAACAGATTTCGCATTTGCTGCGATCTTGGCAGATGGGTCCGTCGTTGCCTGGGGCCATCCACCAAATGGCGGTGACTGCTTGGGATGTCAAGATCAGCTGAGGAATGCGCGACAAATTCAGACCACCAGCGCTGCATTTGCCGCCATATTGGCTGATGGATCCGTGGTTGCCTGGGGCCATCCAATCCGAGGTGGTGACTGCTCCGATGTTCAAGATCAGCTGAGGAACGTGCAGCAAGTTCAGGCCACAGATTATGCATTTGCCGCAATTTTGGCTGATGGATCGGTGGTTGCCTGGGGCCATTTAGACTTTGGTGGTGACTGCTTTGCAGTTCAGGATCAGCTCAAGAATGTGCAACAAATTCAGACAACAGGTTTCGCATTTGCTGCGATCTTGGCAGATGGATCCGTCGTTGCCTGGGGCATTCCACCAAATGGCGGTGACTGCTCGGCAGTTCAAGACCAGCTGAGGAATGTGCAACAAATTCAGGCCACTAGCCGCGCATTTGCAGCGATCTTGGCCGATGGGTCAGTGGTTGTGTGGGGTGATCCAGATTATGGTGGTGACTGCACCGCAGTCCAAGATCACCTGTGGAATGTGCAACAAATTCAGGCTAATCGTGCCGCATTCACGGCAATCTTGGCTAATGGGTCAGTGGTTGCCTGGGGCCATCCAGTCTGGGGTGGTGACTGCTCCGATGTTCAAGATCAGCTGAGGAACGTGCAGCAAGTTCAGGCCACAGATTATGCATTTGCCGCAATTTTGGCTGATGGATCGGCGGTTGCCTGGGGTCATCCACGCTGTGGCGGCGACTGCTCCGCAGTTCAGGATCGGCTGAAGAATGTGTTGTCCATTCAGGCCATCAGTGACAGTGACGATGGTGGCGCATTTGCAGCGATATTGGCAGATGGATCGGTGGTTGCCTGGGGCTATGGTGATGCTGGTGATTGCTCAGCTGTTCAAGATCAGCTTCGGTATTTGTAGATGCTGGATGATTTCCGCAGCCTGATCTTAAAATAGATGTGGGAGAAACACGCTGCTGGAATATTTCATGCGTGTAAATATTATATATATAATTATATATATATATATTGAGTCTTTAACGCCAACAATATAATGGATATAGGACGTATGTAGCCAACAACTACCAACAATATGATAGGATATCATATAGATGCTAGTTGACTGGTTATTTTTGTGGGTCAATGACCCATTACAACCCATGTATAAGGGGCTAACCAGTTATATAACTCCATGGCCCATCTAAGGATGATGTTCACGAAGTACCCACTTCCAGGGAATGATGATTGCCCGGAATAACTTGGAAGGTCAACCGCCGGTTCTGCAACCAGTTACGCTGTTTGTAGATCTAGCCTCTAGCAGACATGAATGTGGAAAACCCATGGAAAAGCCACTTGGATCATCCCACGAATCGTAAATGGCTAATAACTCTGGTCAGGAAGTCCGTCAACTGTTGTCCCATCTATAAATAGCATAAATAGCTTAAACTACAACTGGTTGGTGGTTTGGATTTAGCTGTGGCTCAAAACCCTACCAGCGGGCAGTCGTTCTTACCGATATTTGAGCGTTTTGACCCCCCTGATGGCTTCTACTGGTTGGGATCAACCCAGAGGGTATGACATCCTCTTCAACCCTAACTGGGATGCAATGGGAAAGGGCTCCCGTCTTTCACTGGTGATGGATTGTGTTACCCATACTGGGGAATCAATGATTGGAGTTACGGTCCCTGACAGTAAGCAGATTCGGGTGCTGGGAGCCATCAACCCCCAAATCAAGGGTTGTCGACGAGTCACCTTGTTTGATGTGGTTTTGGAAAACCCTGGCAAAATCCTGGATGTCCACCTTGATGAGCAGTCTGCTGTCATTGCACATGGACTTCGCCCTGCTGAGGATGTCTTCAGGTGTGTTGAACTGTGTTCGGGGATTGCCTGTTCTAGCTCGGGTCTTCAACATGCTGGTTTTCGTCATGTGTGCAGTGTTGAGTGGCGTGCCCCTTTTGTGGACTTGCACCGAACCTCCAAACCTGGAATTCCCGTCATCCATGGGGACATTTGCAATCCTTCATGTCTCAAAGAAGTGGCCTGCAAAGTTGACCCACCTTTCACGTTGATGACTGGTTTCTCATGTCAGCCATACTCCACAGGTGGTTCACAAGGTGGTTCAAATGATGAGAGGTCAGATACCGTTCCTGCCACTGTTCGAGCTGTGCACTTGTTCCAGTGTCCTGTACTCATCATTGAAAATGTGACCCAAGCACGCACCAACCAGTTTGTCCGGGCCTGTTTGAAGCAACTTGAGACGGTTCTTGGGTACCATGTTTCTGAGCTGACGTTGAAGTTGGAGGACAACTGGTGTGCTAGGCGTCACAGGTGGTGGTTTGTGGCTGTTCACCCTGCCTTTGGACCTGTCACTCTCACTGATTGGCCGAAAAGTCCAAGTCTGACGATCCGTGATGTCATGCCCTTCATCAAGTCGTGGCCCATTGAGGACTTGGAACAACTCAGGTTGTCACCCCGTGAGGCTGATCGTTTCATGATGGATGGATCGTCACTGAGGAAATACATGATTCAGACCGAAGGCAAGTTGCCGACCAGCCTTCACTCGTGTGGAAGTCAGGCAGGTGAGTGTCCTTGCGGTTGCCGTAAAGCCTTTAGTGATCAGTTGCTACGTCAGAGAGGAGTGTATGCCCAGTTGATCCAACTTCACTCGGCCGATGGTGGAATTGGATACAGGCACTTGCACCCGATCGAGCTGTCCTTGCTCAATGCCATGATTCCACCTGAGTCTTGGATGTCTCGTGACAGACCATGCCTTCGACTTTGTTTGAGTGCCATAGGCCAACTTGCCTCGCCTTTGCAGTCGGTTTGGGTTGGGTCATGCCTCATGCAGCAGTTGTGTCAAGTTTTGGAAGTGCCAGCGGTTGCACCGATTGAAAGCCTGTACACTTTCAAATCCCAGTTGCGTGCCTTTGCCAAGGACCTTTTTCCAGATGTTGCATCAGGACCTAGCCCAGCGGTGTGGACGACCTTGGTGTATCCTGACAACACTAAGGTTCATGTTCAGGTGCAGCCGGAAACGACCGTCATTGAGCTTTTTCAGGCAGAAATGGCATTGTCACGTGAGGTCACTTCTGATCAGTGGATTGATGCCTCGACTGGACAGCAGCTGGATTACTTCACATGTGTTGCAGGCCTTGAGATTTGTGTGAAAGGTTCTGGACCCGACTTGTCGAATCCTTCTGGACTTCCCTCTTGGACTTCCTCTGTTCAGCCCATCCCTGTGGTTTTTGATGACCCTGAGCAAGAAGATGATCTCATGTCGACTTCCGGTCCTTCCAGTGTCCCACATGTAGCGGTGCCTTCCAGCGTGCCCCTTGGTGTCCCAGATGTGTCGGTCAGTGGCAGTGCTGTTGATTCTGTGCACGAGCATCGTGTTGATCCAGGCCATGTCATGGACACACTGCATGGATTGCGCAGTTTGACTGGACACCAGCTTGCTGACTTGGTTCCCCCATTGGTTCCGGATGTGTCTTCTTGTCTGATGTTTCGCCGTGAAATGGTCAACTTGGAATCTCGGCTTGAGGTGTTATCTCATGAGGGACTTGCCATGGGTGATGATGAGCTCAATATACACCTCAAAGCATGTGTCAAATTATGCGGCAGACCCGAAGTCCAATACCTCGACCCGTTGTTGGCTAGCAGTTGGCTTCAAGGTGGCTCCACCGATGCTGTTCGTGAATGGTTGGCCCAATTCCCCGACCTGACTACCATTGTCACGGTAGTGTCTGCCAAGGGTCATTGGCTTCCAATTGTTTGGACTGCTGGAATTTCTGATGTCCAAGTTGCGCTGTGGGAACATGTTGAAGTCGATGTGGATTTCTTGAACCCCCTCCATGGACTTGTCAGCTCTTCGTGGGGTCGTCCCATGTTTGGTCTTGCCTGCACTCGGCGTTCCTTTGCCCGTGGGCTTTGTGGTGCTGCTGCAGTGGCGTTTGTGTCTCATCGTCTTCTTGGCCATGACCTGCCCAGCTCATATGATGCCTTGTTGCTCCTGCACCAGGACCTGAAAGCCAGTTTTGCTGCCACATGTAACACTGCCACTGTGTTGCCAAAGCCTTGGTGTTGGGGTTTGGGGACAGCCGATGTCTTTGGCTTAGCCAGTGAACTTCTGCAAGCTCATGGGGTGCCGGCCTCCCAAGCTACTCTGCGTGCCAAATTGGTTGTCCAGTCCCTTGGAAAAGCTGAGGTTCAGAAAGCATTGCATGGTGTTTCCCCTTGGAAATCCCTTAAAGCCCTTGCCAATTTGCAGTCGCCGCCTTTGCAGATGGTTCTGCCTGATGAAACAACCGCAGGAACAGCCAGGTAAGCCCAAGAAAGCCGCCGCGGCTAACAAGTTTGCACCCACTCGGCCTGCTGAACTAGACCCGTCAAAGCTTCTTCTTGAAACTGGGGCCTTTTGTGTCGGACATGATGAGCCAGTTAGCCAGGTGTCGTTTGCCACATTAGGTCCTCTTGCATCCGGCATCGCCTTGGCCACTTATCCAGATGCCCTTCCCTTTTTGCAGGCAGGCAAGTTGCTCACCAACCATGGCTTGGCTTTGATGGTTTTGAATCCACCGAGTGAGGTCCAGACCACTTTGATCACAGCCACTGTCCGTTTTGCCGCTCGATGCAGCATGAATCAGGAGCCAATGATCGTCACTGGATTGCTGGTTCAGCTTGGCAAGACTTGTGTATACCAATACACCGCCAAAGACACACCAGCTGTCATTGCCACTGATGTTGCCTTTGCCCGTGTCACTGTCTTTAAAGATCAGTGGGAGCATGACTGGGAAGAGTTTGCCAGCCGCCCTGTCAAGCATGTCCTGTCAGTCCTGCAGTGTCTCCAGACGTGCCGCAATGGCATTGATTGCAGTTGCCCTGGTTGGCATCCGGGACAGGACCAATCGCCAGATGCTGTCTTGGATGTGTTCCGAAGACAATACTACAATGACTCAGGCAGGCCTGTCAAGTGGGACAAAGCCACCCATTTTGCTGTTTTCATCAGGTATGTCAAGTGTCTGGAGTCCCATGTTCTTGCCGCAAGCGGCCAGCACGGTGTTTACATCGAACCCAAGACTGAGGATGCACTTAAGCCGCATGGTGAGTATCAGGTGGTGTGGTTGCCTCAGATGGACTTTCAGGCGGTGTCCCATAAGGCCAAGTGTGAAGTGGATTGCCTTGGACTTGCTCGCACAGGTCAACGCTATGGGCTCCGGGTTCATGTCAAGGACTTCCAACGGCTGTTCACTCAGGTCAAACCAGATGCAGTTTACTTAGCTCCAGGACACAGAACCATGTACCACTGTGGCCCATGGCCTTTTGGTAGTGACCGCAAAAGCATTGCAAGAATCCTGCGAGCCAGCCATTGGGAATGCCGACCACTGCAGCCAGTCCAACACGTGCCAGGTGGTTTGATGTGGTCCGTCCAAGCTGTGACTGAGCCTCCCGTCAGGGTTTTGTCTTTGCAGCATGGTCAGGTCGTCATCACGTGCCCTGACCTGAAATCCCCAGTGCCTGATGTTGAAGCCCAAGTTGTAGGTCATGCTGCCACTGTGAACCTGTGCCGACCGTCCGAGGCTGCTTGTTCAGACCCGTGGTTGACCAGTGACCCATGGTCGAAAGCGGTTAGTGCTGCTCCGACACTGCCTGCAGGGCCCCCTGCCCAACCGGTCTTGCAAGAACTGGAGCAGCGCATTGAACAAAGTATTCTTGCAAAGCTGCCCCCATCAGACAAGATGGACATCGATGACCAGGATCATCGGTTGCAACTGCTCGAAGCCCAGGTGCAGCAGTTGAGCCATAGACAGGCCAGCTTGGAGACCACTGTCCAAGACAATCACCAACAGAACACGGCCCAGGTTCAGACCTTGCAGCAGCAGATGAAGGTTCAGATGGACTTGCAGACGCATCAGATGCAGTCGATGCTTACCGACCAGATGGCAAGGATTGAAACCATCCTTGCGAAGAAGCCACGCACTGAGTGACATCGTGGGGGCCCTGCGCCATTGCCCTCTGCCAGGGTGACCCCGGGGCGACCTCGCTCCATTTGGGCCTTTTTGCGATTAGTTTTAGTTTTGATGATGTGCCGCATTGGTGAAGCTCGAGTTCCCGGCCCTGACTCCGACACATGGACACTTGGGATTGTCAATCCCTCGGGATTGCAGGGGAAATACCATGTGCTGGATAGCGTCAATGCTGAAGTGCTAGCCATTAGCGAGACACACTTGTCTGCCCAGGCCAAACGTGGGTTGGCTTACTCTTTTCGGTCTCACAAGTCACGGTTCAAACATGTTCTGACAGGAGCACCCATGGCTCCTAGATCGCTCTCCAGTGATGCCGGACAATGGGCTGGGGTGGCCTTTGCCTCAGCCTATCCTTGTCGCACAATTGCAGCTCCTTGGCCTAGTGACCTGTATGAAACTGGGCGCATTCAGTTTGCAGCTTTTCACACCCCATCGGATTGGATTTCTGGGGCTGTGATTTATGGCTACCCTGAAGGTAAGACCCACACCAATGCTCATGCCAAAACTGAAGCCATTTTGGACTTCGCATGGACTCGCCTCCAGGCACAGACTGGCCCTCGATTTATGGCCGGGGATTGGAATTTCACCCCTGATCAGCTTCAGTTGGTCTCGCACATGCAAGCAGCTGGGTGGGTTGAAGTGCAAGACCATGCCAGGTCTCTCACTGGCCAAGCCGTTGTGCCCACTTGCAAACAGACGACCAGGAAAGATTTCCTTTGGATGTCGCCTGAGTTGGCCCTTGGATTTACGGCCCTTCGGATTGACCCACAGGTTTTTGCTGACCACTCGGTTATCCTTGCGACCTTTGTTGGGGGGAAAGCACATCTTGAAAGATTTGTTTGGCCGTGTCCTCAACCCATTGCTTGGACTTCCGTGCCTGACCTCCCGACACCTGTTTGTTTTGCATGCCCGTTGGATCCCACTGCCCAGTATGCAGATCTCTGGCGTCAGAAAGAAGCTCTTGCCGAGGCTGCCCTTGCCCATGAATGGAGCCCCGCCATGGCTGGACGAGGCCAACAGACCAAACCGCGCAGGGTTGTTGGGCGTCTTGCACCTCTCAGACAAGGCAGGATGGATGATGTTCAGCCTGGGTTCTTTGGATTTTCTGCTCTCCATGTTAAACGGTTTAAACAACTGCGTAGATTGCAGAATTATTGCAGGTGGGCTGACAACCATGCCGCCAATCACACCAGTGATAGTCTTCATGGAATTGGACTTTGGAATTCCATCCTCCATGCCTCTGGATTTGGCGTCTCCTTTTCCAGTTGGTGGCCTTCCCGGTGTTACGTCAGTCCCCTTGACCCTCCGGCCATTCCCCCGTTTTGTCCCAGTCCCTTGGTTGCCCGGCAAGTTTATGATGCTTTGCTTGCTGATGTCAGGTTGTTGGAGCAAAGATTGACGATGGCCAAGAAAGCTCACAGGGTTGCTCACCATGACCGCGATCATCAGTTGGTCTTCCGTGATGTTGCACGCCCTGCGGCTGCCCCAGTTGAGACCCTTGTTCATCGCGTTGAGGCCAAAGTTGCGTTTGTGGATCAGTCCGAGTGTGCCATTGAATTGGATCGTTCTGTCCATGTCCTGCATGATGAGCCTGTCTGGGTTTCAGGGCAAGTGCATGATGTTATACATGCGGAAGGAGATAAAGTTTGGGTTCATGATGTGACCACTGTCCAAGTCAATGATGTCTGTGTTCAAACCAAGCCTGTTGGTGACCTGCAAGCACTTTTTGATGCTTTCCATGAACAATGGAGATTGCGGTGGTGTCGACATGATGGAGTTCCCTTCAGTCGTTGGCAAGAACTTCTGGATTTTGCCCGCCGGATCATTCGTCCCACTGCTGTGCCTCACCTTGCGGTTGACAGTGCTTTGCTCCAGGCTGAAGTTCATCGGAAAAAGAAAAGAGCCGCAACCGGCCTTGATGGTGTCAGCAGGAGCGACCTTGTCATGGCTGACCCTGCCACCCTGGCCAGTCTTACCAAGGTGTACCAGCGGGCTGAAACTGATGGGGCTTGGCCAGCTCAACTTGTTGCTGGAAAGGTACACTCTTTGGCCAAGACTGAATCTGCTTCCTCTGTTGGGGATTACAGACCCATAACAATCTTTGGCTTGCCTTATCGAGCTTGGAGCAGCATTCAATCCCGACACCTGTTAGCGTTTGCTGATCATTGGGTTGATGATAGTGTTTTTGGAAACCGAAGGGGAAGACAGGCCTCCGACCTGTGGCTCCAGTTGCTCACTCAGATCGAGCAGGCCTATACCTCCTCGACCGGTTTGGCTGGGATTTCAGCTGACATTGAGAAATGTTTCAACTGCATCCCTCGGTTTCCTGCACTGTGTCTTGCTGTGTTGGTTGGCACCCCGCATGAGGTCACCACTGCATGGAGCGGTGCCCTGGCCAGCATGTGTCGTCACTTCAAAGTTCGGGAGTCTTTCTCTTCGGGGTTCCTGACTTCTACTGGTCTCGCTGAGGGTTGTGGTTTGTCAGTTTTTGGCATGCTGCTGGTTGACCACCTTTTCGCTTGCTGGTTGAGGTTCCAAGCCCCTCCTGTGCACTGCCTGACTTATGTTGATGATTGGCAGACCATCACCCGGGATGTGGATTACACCGTGCGCCAGCTTGAGTTGGTTGAGCAGTTTGCTGCCTTGATCGACCTGACCGTCGATCGCAAGAAAACCTTCGGTTGGGCTACCTGCCCGGACATGCGGCGCCTCATGAGGGACAAAGGCATTCGGGTTTTACACCATGCCCGTGAACTTGGGGGTCACATGGGTATCTCCAAGCAGTACACCAATTGTACTGTTGCTCAGCGCATTGCCGACCTAGGTGACTTCTGGGTCCAACTTCGCTCCAGTAATGCCAGATACAAAGCAAAGGTGTACATGCTCCGTGCTGTTGCTTGGCCGAGAGGCCTTCATGCCATCTCCAGTGCTCCCATCGGAGATCAAACTTGGCTGGCGTTACGACGTAGTGCGGTCAAGGCGTTGGGCTGGCAACGGCCTGGAGTTAATCTTGCTGTCCTCCTCAGCCTTGTGGAACCCATGGTTGACCCTCAATTTGTTGCCATTTCATGGACTTTTCGGTCGCTGCGTGCTCAGTGCCCTTTGGACTTTTGGGCGGTCAATGCTTCCCCCCTTGCACATGGGGACTTGGACTTACCCCCCAATGCTCCAGCTTCCATTGCCCTTCAACGTGTCCAGGCGTTGGGTTTTCAAGTGGATCGAGCTGGGTGTGTCATTGACCAGTTTGGCTCCTTTTGTCTGCATACGTGCAATATCACTGAGGTGGACTTGCGTTTGCAGTGGGCCTGGAAACTCGTGGTCGCTCAGAAAGTTTCCCATTGTTTGGACTTCAATGGACTTTGGCAAGTTGATCTGGCTGCTACCAGAAAGGCGCTTGCTGCGCTTGGGCCTGATGACCAAGCTTTGTACCGCTTGGGGCTGGCTGGAGGTTTGTACACCGAAAGCTACAAGGCCAAATGGACTGATCAGGCCGACTGTTGTCATTGGTGTGGCCAACCTGATACCCTCAAGCATCGTTTTTGGGAATGCCCTCAACATGGTGACCTGCGTGCCTCGCTTGCTCCAGATGTCCTCCCTGTCCTTGACCAGTTGCCACCGGTTATGTCCTTGAGGGGTTGGGCGTTGTTGCCTCCGACTTGGCACTCCTGGATTCAGCTCCTTGTGAATCTGCCGCCGTGTTCTTTGGGGACGTCTGTTGGATTTGCCAAGGGGGTCTGGAATCATGTGTTCACTGATGGGTCTTGTCTGTTTCAGTCGTGTCCCCTTTATCGGTGTGCTGCCTGGTCTGCCACTCTTGTCCCAGCTTTCTGCTCATCATGGACTCCAGGAGGGACGCAATTGGTGGGTGCCTCCTACCTGCCAGGTATTTGCCAGACTGCCTTCAGGGCTGAGTTGTTCGCCGTTGCGTTTACGTTGCACCAAGCAGCTGAACAAGGAGCTCCGGTGAAGATTTGGACGGATTGCCTGGGAGTCATAGCGAAGTACAATCTGCTGGTCAGAGGCCATAAGAACCTGAACCCCAACAGAAGTAATGCTGATTTGTGGGCGTGGGTACTTCAGTCAGCAGACAGGCTTGGGCGACAGTACATTGAATTGTGCAAGGTGCCAGCGCACCGGCCACTTTCTAGCGCTACGACAAGGTTTGAGGCTTGGATGTTTTTCAACAATGACATTGCAGACAGGGCGGCTCGGATGGCCAATCAGGCCAGGCCACCTTGTTTCTGGGACATTTGGGAAGCGCATGCCCAGGCTACAGGTGTTGCCGCTACGTTGTTTCAGCAGGTACAAGCATTGCATTTGGCTGTGGGGAGGCGACAGGTCCAGAGTCAGGTCAGTGATGAACCCGGCGATCCTGACCCTGGACCTGTCCGCCAAACCAGAGAGTTTGTGACAGTGTTTGAGCGTGGTAGCTGGAATGGATCGTTGTTGCCAAAGGTGACCAGATTGTATGGAACATCAGTCATGCAGAAGATCAACAAGTGGTTCTTGGCGCGTTTGGCGCCTTCAGCTGACGTGGTTTGGGTATCGTTTGCACAGTTGTACCTGGACTTTCAGATGTCAGTTGGACAGCCTGGTCCTCTTCGTGTTCAGAACCACTGGATTGACGCTGACCAGAGGCCATATTTGGCGGTGGAAACCTTTTCGTTCAAGCAGCGGACCAAATGGTTCAGACAATGCCTCAAACATCTCTGGAAGGAAGCTGCCTTGACAGTTGGGCTGGAGCAGTGTCGACCACGATCTGTGGCGATTCATGCCTTCCTCCCATCAGCTTCGCTCCCATGGGACACCCATGCTCTGGCTGTCGTGGATGAGTGGCTTGGAGCCCATCTTCGTGACCCTTGCGCTCGCGAAGCTAGCGCTTTGAACCGTTTGCCTCCACCGACGAAGTGTGGCAGACTGCAAGTCTGATCGCACCAAAGGTGCTTTTGGATTTACCGTGACCGAGTTGCCTCGCTCCAACCACCGAGCAGGCATCAGCGACAGAAAAACTGGCAGAAAAAACTGGTGGTTTGGATTTTTTATTTTCCATATATTGGGAATAAAAATCCCAACTAGTTCATATTTTGCAGATAAGTATTGTTGATACTGTTCTACAACCTGGATCGGGATGATCCTCCCATGGACAGTCGGCACAACCTGCGAACTCCCACGGTTGTCGGCCAGGCCCAGATCCCCATGAGTCATATATTCCCATGATATCCCGATGAGAGATATTAGTGTAATATATGATGCTGATATCCCATTGAATCAGCATTTTTCTTGCTTAAACTCATGATCAAACACATCCACATCATGAGTTCAAATTCTGACTTCGTGAGGAATTCCCATGATTTCTAAACTCACATTCCCATTAAATCATAGTTTTTATCCATGTAAATGCAGTGTTCAGACACACCATTCCCATTTTTCGTTTCCGCTTTTCAGCCGGATGCGCCACGCCATGCACCACGCCATCTCCCCATCGCCAGGATGTTGACATGGGTGACACCGCAGAGCTCCAGAAGTCCTGTGCGCGAAGTCCTGTGACGGACGACTGGGACAGAAAAATGTAGATCTAAGTTGGTGATAATTGGTGAACATAACTCCGGTCCATGGCAGTTAGGTTTAAACCTATAGTTGGCTATAGTTGGCATATAGTTGACTATGGTTTTTATAGGTGACATATCTATAGTTAATAGGCTTATAAACCAACTCATAACTTGGGGGGCACCACCTTGTAGAGATGCAAAGATTTGAATGTGTCTGGAAATTGGGTACCTCGATTTTTGGCTGGTTTATCATCATCTCGATAAAAATTTGATATTTTGGGGCTGTGTCCCATTGACACACACACACATGTCAATGGCTACTCAGTAAAAACATGTCAAGAGATGAAATGGAGATACCATGCCCTCAACAAACAGCTGGACCCTACCATGAGTTGATCCTCAAGATGTGTGTTAGTTTGGCGGGACGGAATGCCATTTTCATGGTTACAAACTGAGTGTCCTGGTATGGAAATGCTCACAGATGAACATGGAGATATGATAATATGATCATCATTTACCAGAGCAGAGCAATTCTTGGGTGGATGTGTTGATGGCTTTGTTGATGTCCGTCCGCAGTTTGTGGTTTCACCCCTTTTGATCACAAGGTGCGCCGAAGAGTGTCCAAAAGGGCCGCATGTGGGTTTCCCGGAAACCAACTTACTTGGAATCCCATTTTTTTCCAGGGATCAACATCAAAATAAGTTGTACTGTAGTTGTATAATGGTGTTAGAATCACTATATCTGGGGTTGTGTGCACAAGGATGGCATCAACTGGGATACCAGGTCCTGATCTCGGGATGTTTCAACTGTCGTGATCTTTCACGGTCTTGTTTCGCTGTCCGAAGACAATGATCAAGACCCATTCCGATTGATGATTAACTTTTCATGGGACTATTATAATTGGGTTATTCTTAGAGATTATTTGATAGGATAGGATTAGAGATTAAATGGGACTATTATAATATTATCATCGGGTTTTTCGGGTTGAGATTTGATAGGATTGGATTTTTTCTGGGGATTTCCATGTGGTTTCTGGGGATTGGTTTTACTATCCTTCTATTGGAGGCGACGGTCACTATATTGACACCCCAAAAAAAGGGGATCAGCCGTGGAGATCCCTCGTGAGGAAATACCATGGGACCTCGAGTCATGGCGGATCAGTCGTCACCATGGTTGTTTCAATCAAAAACTGGTTGGTGGTTTGGAACATTTGGATTATTTTTCCATTCAGTTGGGAATGTCATCATTCCAACTGACGAACTCATATTTTTCAAGATGGTGAAGACTTTGATGACTTGGTAACCCCACGATTTGGGAAACCCCCATATAAATGGTGGGAACGGCCATAGGTAATGAATGATGAACCTCCAAGCCACATAGTGAAAGGTTTGGGTGAATTGAAACAGACAACCAGTGGTAGGAACAACTGGGTGGCCTTGGATTATATTTGGCGAATCGAAGACTGATTCTGCACTTGGGTGGTGCAGTTCAGCTGGAAAAATCGGTACAACCATCGGATTTGAACCTCCATAAGTTCGGAATCAGATATGTATATATATATGTATGTGTGTAATTATATATATATATATATTATATTTATATTATATATATATACATAAATAAATACAGCCACATACAACTGCACCCCCAAGAAGGGTTTGGGTGTTCTTCTGAAGGTTCACAGATACCGGCAGCATTTCTCACGCCACGTGTGACCCATTTGGATTGCTGGCCGCAAAATTGGTTCAGAAAAAGGCCTCCATGGGTAGAGATTTTGAAGCGGTGTTTCAAGCATGTCCACATCATTCACCCGCCAGAGGCAAGTGTGCATCAAGCTGGAATGTCAGATATGTCAGAGTTGCCAGATGTGAAGGATAACAGCCATGGGAGTTGATGAAGCCACAATCAAACCACGGACAGTCAAAAACTGCGCGATAGGTCCGATAGGTCACCACAAAGGTGTGAATCGCATCGCCGGTGCGCCATGCCGTGTGAGGGGCGACAGGAGGGGAAGCTGGATGAATGGTGGGGTAGGGTTGTAGGGTTGGGAGAATTCTACCACCAAAAATAGAGGTTTCAATCATCAATGATATTGGTCTAGATGGGGTAGCTCTTGAAATTAGGGTGAACCACAATGAAGGGTAGGGAACCTGGGTGGTGGGTTAATGTCTAAAGCTATCAGCGAGAAAGAATATCCAGCTAAAGCAACAAGTATACATAACAAGTCCCGGCACTGTCCTGCCTTTCCATCGAACTGTAAGGTTCCCATATGAGCTGGCTGTTTCTCAACATTGGGGTCACCCAAATCAGTGGTAACCCCATTGTTTAACTCTCCAATATCCATCAGGAAGACGAAGTCCCAAAAAGTTCCCAGAAATTGATCCAGGTGGATAAGTTACAAAGACTCCGACGCGGCTAGAAATGGTGGGCATTGTAAAGATACTCGTAACTATCCAAGAATTGCCCAGCTTTTTGGGTTTGTGAATTAGAACAATTGACTCAGTAAACGTTTTGATCGCACATCTACCAGTCGTTTTCCGCTGAAACCCCGATATTTGTTGGTTGAAGGCCCAAATCACCATAAAATCAGCAGTTTTCTCGGTGAAAGTCCAACTAATTCACCATAACTAACCGAAGTCCGGTTGAAATCTCCAGTTTTAGGTGATATCTCCATTTCAAACCTTCAAATTTCCTCGCAGGATTTGATGAAGCTCTTGCGAAGCGGCGAGGTCGATGAGGCCATCACGTGTTTGGCTGGTCAAAACCCTTACGGTGAACGCGAAAACAGCTTGGATTTATGGATGCTCATCCCCCAAAGTATCCAAACTAGGTTTTGACCCATCTCCAAATCATGATAATTAGAGGGAGGATAGTCTTGACGGGAGGTCAGTTGGAAGAGTGGACGAAGTTGGGATATCAAGCATTGTGTGGATATGATGGGTTCAATGATAGATATGCTGATAAAATATTTGATCAACAGTATTTTTAAAAAAAAAAACTGTTTATCCACAGCACATGCGATAGTTTAAACAGAAGAGAGAAATGTGATTTACGGAAATGCTCAAGTCCTGCAAATCTTTTGTAACACAAATTGGCTCCCCTCAGAAATAGCAAACATATGCGGACATGAAATATTTTTGTAATAACCCGTCTTTTGCAGTTGCCACTCACATCAGAATGTTCCTATTGGAATCCCGAGATGCCAGGAAGACTAGATGGTTTGTAACTCATACAGATACACGCAGAAGATTGCACCCCCCCCAGTGATGGAGCTGTAGATATATCTACCATTAAACCAAAGTTTATGGTATGTTCACCAACTTATAACTACAGCTCTCATAGTTAGTTTATAACTTATAAGCCAACTATACAAGCTGGTGCCCCCCAAGCTATGTTTGTTGGCTTATAGGCCCATGAACTAGTTCAATATATCACCAACAAAAACCATAGTCAACTATATGCCAACTATAGCCAACTATAGGTTTAAACCTGCCATAGACCGTAGTTTTCATCCCACCAAAAGGTGCACGTAACCGTGGCGAGCTGGGATTTGTTCCCATAGGACAAGATTGGAAAATGCTGGTCTGTTTAGAACGGGAAAAACATCGAATTAAATGGATGGTTTTCCAGCGCGCCATGTTTGATGACACCGGAGGCTAACTGGAGGCGAACGTTCACTGGATAGTAGTGGGTCACAAAGGTCCGTCATAGTAAACCATAACGGCCTTATGGGAACTCACAACTGGTTAGTTCACCCATGTTGCACCCAAAACGGCCATAACTGGAGTAGCAACTGTGTCGTATCAACAGGTTTGTTGTGATAACTGGTGGGTTCCCCTATGAAATGCACCCCCGTTTTGGTCGGAGTTTTACGAACCACTCACTCAACTAACCAGCCATGGCCCACCAGTCCCCCAGGATGTCAGACACATCTACCACACCAATGTGGGAGGCTGGGCCAAGGGGGACGAATTTCCCGGATTTTCCAGGGCTCACAAAAGAGGTTTGTTTGACGTTGTTCCAAATATTTATACGGATATATACTGATATAATATAGATCTGTAGATATGATATGTATACAACTGTGTATGTATATTTATATATATATATATGCGCAACGCCTGGGCTTTGCCCCAGGGTTGCAGCGTAGAGGGTTCCCATTCCCAGTCACATGTTGTTGCATCTTTACATTCAATTGGGAAGATCAACAAAGGTATTGGGGAATATTAACATCCCACTCCCGTTAAACTTTACATTCAATTGGGAAGATCAACAAAGGTATTAGGGAATATTAGATTCCCGCCCCCGTTAAACTCTACATTCAATTCGGAAGATCAACAAATGCATTAGGAATATTAAAATCCCACCCCCGTTAAACTT